AATATATATATATATATATATTTATTTATTTATTTATTTATTTATTTATTTATTTATTTATTTATTTATTTATTTATTTATTTATTTATTTTATTTAGACATTATGTTGTGTTAAAAAAAAACTCACATCCGAAAAAATCGTTTCTCTCAATAATTTCACGCTCGTAATCGATCTTCCCGTTATAACTTTACCGAAAACATTAAATAAACGAACCTATTATACTTGGTTCGATGACCGACGAGTGCCATTTTGAATCCACTTTCTCTCATCTTGGTCTCTTTTATATATATATATATATGAATATATATACACATATTGATCGAAAGATCGTTTTTATTTTAACGTCGATCAGGGTATTGTTTTAAAGAAAAAAAAGAAAAGATTATCATTTATGAATAGGCAAAATGAAAATGAAAAGGAACAAATAGATTTCTTTTCTCTAATATATATAATATGTATGTATAATATTAAATATCCTGCAATGAGATAAGATTTTGTTTTTTTTTTAAATAATGGGAGCGAATGCAGCAATAAAAAAAAAGACGAATGTAAAAAGAAAAAAATGATATGATCGTGTTCGATTGCATATTGGGAGATCACGGTGTGGGACCACAAGTTTTTCAACACAAAAAAAGTAATAAATAATACTATTTAAAAAATAAATAAAATAAAGAATTAAATTACGTAAGAGAATATGTAACGTGGGAATAGATCGACGCAAACGATCTTTCATCTTATCTCTTTTCTTTATCTTTTTTCTTCATTCTTCTCCAAAACCGTACAACAAAATGGCGCGTGCGCGCTCACGAACCTAATTATATATATATTTTAGCGTTAAAAAAAAAATTCTTAAATATGCTCTGTAAAACTATAAACGTTTATAGTCATATGCGATGCGACATATTAAATCGTCGCATAATTAATTACCAATGGCGTTTATGATCTAACGAATATCCTGCTTTCAACATATTGTACAGTATCGAATAAAAATTACAGTGGGTAGTTTAAAACGAGTTATAAAATGAAGAATGTTAAAACGGAATGAGAAACATTGTGAAATTTTACGTACTTCTTTTGTTTTTTTCTTTTATTTTTTTTTATTTTTTATAATACTTTTTTACATCTAATTTTAATCATCGATTCGTAACCAGCCGATAAACGTTTTTCGTGTACGAATAATGAATTTAAAAAAAAAAGAAAAAGAAAAAGAAAGAAAATATAATACACCGTTACATTTGATTTATTCAGATGAAACGATAGTTACTCAAACAAAATATGTAATATACGTAAAAAACTGGTGAAAGTTTTCGTCTGTAGGAGATCATTTCTGCAAAATATTTTGCGCATACATGTCCCATACATTTTAAAATTTAATTAAAATAACTTACAATTAGTATATATTTATCAATACAGTACATCTACGAAGAAGAGAAGAGATCGTGTTCTAAAGTTTATTATATATATGCATATATATACATATACAAATATATCTCTCGAATATATAGAGGAGGTAAGAGTACCGCTTTCGCTCTTATATTGACAGTGTGCATGCAGCATCATTATCACAAATATTGCCAATAATATTTATGTTCTTTGTGTTACCTTCGTTCATTTTATTTTTTTTCTTAATTAATCGATCAATAAATTTTCATTATCCGAATACAATGCCAATGTTAAATCAATTAAAAAATATGTCCATATATTGTATCAATTTGTTTCTACGAGAGATTACTATAATATATTTTGATAAGTAACAATAAAATGAATGCATCACATTCGATCGTAATTCATATTGCAGTCAGCACAACATCGATGATATATTTCTCCCTATTTTCAAATATTTAATTTGCGTGTGTGCTTTTTTTGTTAATTGTGATGTATCTATTTGAACTTATTACCGCAAACATATACATACATATATATATATATACATATATATATATTTTATTTTTCTTCATAATTTTCATCACTTTCTTTTCAAAGATATATTATAAACCAGCTTTCGGTGTGTGGACCTTTAGTATTAGATTTTGAGTTTAAACGGATTGTCATGAAAAATTAAAAATAAAAAATCTTTAAATAAATAAATTATACATAAAATTCATTTTGTAAGAATAAAAGAAAAGAAGAAAATATAATGTTTACGAACAAGTTAGACAAAAGAATTCATTTGTTTTCATTGATGTACGTTGCGTATTTTTATTTTTTTTGTTACTCATATAATAATATATACCGTTACTATATTATTAATTTTCATTGAAAAAAAACATCCCACCATATGACTCTGATATATCTTATCGTTAATAAGTCTATTTTTTTCTACACATACATAAATATTATATATAAATATTTACACATACCTTCACGATATACATAAAATCGGTAATTAACCTGTGTCCACCTATGTGTCGCATATATTATATGTGTAAATAGGTACAATTAACGTTCTCCAATTGTTATATCTTTTCTATCCTCGAATGCATATTATGTTGTGTAGAGAAAAATTTAGAATAGTTTCCTGTATACATACATATAAATGGATATATGAATACAGTCGCATTAACAAAACGATGATAAATTTTCAGCAAAATTCATGCCGGAATCGCCGCCACCTCCGCCACCTGGATACGCTTATCCTCCGGCTCCCCCGGCAGGTGCACCAGCAGCAGCTGCTCCTGCCGCAGCACCAGGAGGTGCAACTGCTGCAGGGGGTGCTTCCGCATCCCAAACTGCCGGTGCTGCCTTCGTTGGCTCAATTAATGGTAAACATAGTATGATTTAAACAAAAAAAACTGCTCCCTCCGTTATGAATCATTAAATTAAATTAAATTAACAGAAAAGAGAAACATAACAATAAACAAAACAAAAATGATCCACTAGAGATGATCGATTGATCTACATTTTAAGAAGGTAGAAATTAACAATAGCATGTGATATGAGAGAGCGCACTCTCGTCGCGAATTATTTAAAAGATTAATCTTTTACAATTTCTTCTCAAACTTGATTTCTTTTCATCGTGCAAAAGATCATTATACAGTTCTTCACACTTTTGCAAGTAAGAAAAAAGAATAAAAGAGATAAAAGTAGAAAAAATAAATAAAACGAAGAAGAAGAGGAAAAAACAATTTCTATTTGAAATTGTAAATATCCAAGTTGACTCTTAAATGGCTCGATAATTCTCATTAATATATTTTCAAGAAAATGATATCGGTTTGTGTAGGTGAACGAGTTATATGATCCGATATATAATTATTTCTATGTACTTATATATGATTATGAGAAACGATTAATAATACGAAAGATCCAAATGTGCTCTCCTACGTATGAATAGTTATTCATATCCATATATCCACAATATCAAGAAGTATGAGAATAAAAAACAGTACCTATACACATAATATTTTCCATTATGCGATATAAATGAATAATCGTGGGATCGCATATATTTCAATATATATGTACATAAATGATGATGATGACGATGATGATGATGATGATGATGATGCTGATGATGATGATGATGATGATGATGATGATGATGATAATGATAATGATGATGATGATGATGATGATGATGATGATGATTATCATTATTATTATTATTATTATTATTATTATTATTATTATTATTATTATTATTATTATTATTGTTATTGTTATCATTATAATTATTAGTATTACAAATTGTCAGTGTAAGAATAAACAGATATAAGTATATAAATTTAACAAATATTAAACAAAAGAACGTGTGTTATGAGAGACACGTACATAACGAGAAAAAATGAGTGGAGAGTTGTTAATGTTAAATTTATTATATCCTTCATTATTATATATATATAAATATTAGTAATAGTTGTATATATATGTATATATAAATGCAACTATTACTAGCTAACAAATTATCTATACACGTTGTAACGCCATTGTCATCGGAGCTCGACATTTTTGCTCGTTTGAAAAATAAATCACATCAAAGTAGAAAAATAGTTATTGTCTATAAGGCACGTTTTACACAATTGTATTCATTTTTAGTTTTTTTAATTTTTTTATTCTCTCACGAGCCTAAAGAATATATAGATATATATTCTAATCAGGATGATATTATTACGAATATCAAAGATCTATAAAAGCTTCTTTTTTTCTGATCTATAATTTATATTAGTCAAAATATGTACGATCGTAATATTTGCCTTGAGATCGCAATGTATTTTTATATTATTATTATTATATTCATTTGATCTCTAAGAATTATTATTATTTTTATTTATTTTGTTGACACATTTCTACGTATGATTCGCGATAAATAGAGATCTTGAAACTCGAATAATTCAATGATCCTTATATATATCCAGTTTCATATTGGCCTAATTAAGCTTGAACGTACATAAAAATATAAATAAAAACGATGAAGCGTGTAATATACTATGCGAACAAGAAGTGAAACTTCTTTTTCTTTTTTAAATTAGTAGAAAAATTAGGACAAAAGATTAAATTATTATTATTTTATTGATTCAAGTATCCGAAAAAAACGGCATACAAAAGATATAACTGATCATGTTCGCGTGATACAACGAAGATCATACGTGGTCAATTATTGATTCTTAAAAATTAAATAAAAATGTTCAGAAATCATAGTTGTGGTTAATTCCATTTGCGGACTCTCTAATTCCTTTCACGAAAAATACTTTCATTGTGTAAAATATTAATCACTCGGTTTCTAAACGGATTATACTAATAAGATTTTGTGAGGAAAATTTGTACGAAACATAAATAAAATTAATAAGTTGTTTGCTGGCAACTGCGCTCTCCAAACATTTCAATTTGATTTATAAAAATCAATAAACGATGATATACGAAATTTGCTAAGTTGCATAAACATGCTCGGCAACATTTTTTTTATTGCTTTTCAATGGTTATACATTTTTTTGCGTGTCGTTTCTATTTTCGTGATGATATTAAAAAATCACACTCAATGCGACTAAAGAAATTTCACTTCAACAAAAAAAAAAAGAAAAAAGCAACAAAAACGTTGATAAAATAAAAAAGGTGTCATGTGTATGTAGTTGCGATTATGAAGACGCCATTAAACGATGTTACGATTAAATGTCCTCTCCTCATACTGTATGATTGTACACACATACCACATACATATATACATGTACAAAAAGCCTATTTATTGTTAAATGGTATTGCCAGGACGATCGTTTGATTCCTACATTTTCAGAATAAAAAAGAACAAAATAAAAGGTTAGTAAGATATATATATTATATCTTATATATAATAATATAATATATATATATATATATAATATATAATAATAATAATAATAATAATAATAATAATAATAATAATAATAATAATAATAATAATAATAATAATAATAAGATATTAAGAGATATCACGTTATGCTTATGCCAAATTTTCGAAAATTAATGAACGACAGCAAACCGATTGATGAATAAAATCTTTCCAATTTACGTATTCGCAAACGTGTATCGTTAAATGAAATTTTGTAGAAATCTTTCTTTCGCTGACACGTGTGATGATCATTTTTCGAAGAAAATAAATGTTTCCTATCGTGGTAAATGGGAAGATTTAAAAATATCAAAATTAAGATACTTAACATTAGTATTTTCGAAAATTCTGGCTTCAAGAATTTGCTTATTACACTATTCGCAAGAAAAACAAAATCATATACGTCCTCGTACACCCATCCACACATACATACATTACATTATCCTACTTTTATTATAATCTTATTATAGTTTTAAATACATGATTCTATATATATATATATACATGCGCGTATGGCGATAAAAATAAAAAAAAAAATAAAGATAAATCAATAAAATAAACAGATTTGTAAGTATAGTTAGAATAATTACGTAAGACGAACTCCAAAAAACTTAGGCAGGTTAACAGATTATTGTGTATAATTGATAGAATTCTCATCGCAATATTTATTGAGTTAAATGCATCATAAATCTGCGTTAATCTAGCCATATTTTGACGTAGATGTTACTGTACCTTAGGCTTAAATAAAGTTATGAAGAAGATTAATGTACAAATGATAAAGTTAACTTTTTCCATTCATCCTCTGTCATATTTGTAAATATACCAGGGTAAGTTGGAAAGTCTAGAGCCTCATTAAAAAAAAAACTTTTTTCTTTTTTAAATAAAATGAGTTTGACCAACAAAAATTATTTCTATGTTAACTACAGTACTTTTCAACCCACCCATTTATAAAAATTGATAATTTTAGCGTAATTAATTGAATATCTGTTTATCACTTAACAAGTTGAATTAAAAATCGTTTATTAAATTGTATTATTTAAAACTATATCATTTAATTCTTTTATTACTAGTGACTCATATAGGTGTCGTATACCATACAACGATATGTATGTACAAACAAATTTATACTAAACGAAACCGCGCCAAAGCATAGTGTAACAAAAGGGTTAAGTGTAGAAATTTCACAAGAAACTCGCATTATACAGAGATCTACTGTACGTATTTAATTCATATTTATTATTCTCAAAAATTGTTAACAACATACCTATTGTCTAGCATCTCAGTTCAAATCTTTAACTTCTCGCGAAAACCACGGAGCCTAGATACCAGGAGGGCGATCGACATAGGAAAATAACTAGAAAACGCGACTGGAAAAAAAAAGAAAAGATCATTTTCGGAAAACGCCGCTAGGTTTCGTTATGTTCGCTAATGTCAAGTTTATAACGTCATATTTTTCATTGACAATTGTTGACAATTCTGCATCATTAGCAATTGTATTAATGTTTTTTTAATTTATAAAAAATAATATTTATTTCAAAATGGTAAATAAATGTAATGTTCATGGGTGTACAAGTGGACGAGTCAAGATCGTAATAAGAGTGCTAAATTAAATCAGAGAAATACGTCTTTATTCACTGTACCACAGGTAATATAACCTTAATTGATAGTTATTAATTACTAATATAAAAAAAATGCAATGATGCAAATGTTTTTTAACTCTACCTATATGCCATAGAAATTTCTAGTCTTGTAAAAAGTGCAATTTACGATAATAAATTACAATTTACTTTTAATTGGACTTTTTAAATTTAGTTTTCCATCCTTTACTCAACTGCGACTAGGCAAGATGAAATTGAATAGATTTACATAACAAGTTGACGATAATATCTTGGGAATAATTGTAAAATAATAAAAAATTTCTCTTATTGCTATTTTTAACGTTAATTATAAGATTTAGTTAATTTATTTTGACTAACGCGTGAGTACAATTGTTACATTCCCTCTACAATAAACAAGGTTTTTAAAACCTAATATTTGTAGAGGGTTTCTCTATAGTAAAAGTAATATTACACTGAATTTTATTTAATATTTTTATTTAAAGGATGCGACTTGCTTTTCTTTCTTGTACACTTCTCAACGGCTACGTACAGACTGTTCTAGTCCAGTGCTGTCAGATCGTGGGTAAATCTTACCCTCTCCCTGTGCCACTGGGATTGC